GGGAGTCTGCTTCTCCCTCTGACCCTCCCCCCTCTCGTGCTCTATCTCATTCTCTCTCTCAAATAAATAAATAAAATCTTTAAAAAAAAATAGTATTTTGCTCATAGAAGTTTTATGAGGATTAAAAGAACCACATATCACCACCACCAATATCATTATCATCATCACCACAGCTAACGCGTACAGGGCCTTTGAAACTGTGCTTTGCTTAGTAGTGCTTTCTCTGTTCAATCTTTTTCTTCTCTGGGTTCCTACCATTCTCTCAAAATGGTATCCTCATCTTCTACCATATAATAGTGAAATTTAAGAGTTAATTTTAAACTCATCTACATGCTTGCTAAGTTTTTTATCTTATATGTGTTGGATCATGGTATTTCCTCTGTTTCTAATGATTTGTATTCCCAAATATTGTCACCTGTTAGGATCCTTTCAAGGCCATGTCAGCTGTATCATGAGGACTTCTCTAATAGAATTTTTCCCCATCCCTCCTGTTTTAGAAGGAATCAGTGCATTCTCTGTTTGCACTTAGACGGTATTTTTTTTCTGGCATTGTATCTCTGATACTGTCTTGTATCTTACTGTACTAGGATGCGACATTTTGAGGCCATGTCACCTTTTATTTATTTTACTTATATGTGCATTACTACATACTGGGTTCTTAACTAGTGAGATTATTTAATTAAAATATTTGCAAAGATGAATAACTTTAGATTTTAAAAAATCTATTTTCTAGATTAAATATAAGACACCTCAACCTATAGGAGAAGTATATTTTACAGAAACTTTTGATAGTGGAAGGTTGGCTGGGTGAGTATTCATTCAAGAGAATGTTTTCTTTGATTTAATTAGCTTTTTTGAAGTTATTGGTTATTGGCCTGTGAAAATTGCCTCTACTACAAAACTGTAAAAATTGTTACTTTGTCAGTGTAAACCAGTACCTTAATGCATTTTTATTATTGATAGAAATGTTTAACTTGAAGAGTTATTCATTTATACAAAGAAAATAATACAAATGAATTATGAATATAAAGTAAAAATTTATGACATTTCTTCATTCCTAAAGACAGATATTATTAACCTGATTTCAGATGACAAATTCAAATTACTGTTCCATCCTAAATATTGGTTAAAAAAATAAATGTTACTATTTATTAATTATTATATACCAGACACTGTCCCAAGTAAGTAGGTAAGTACTATCTTTATCTCCATTTTACAGGTGAGGAAACTGAGGCTTAGTATATCTCACATATGATCAAGCAACTAGTAAATTGTGGATTCCAAATATGATTTAACTCTAACCTTGCAAGATTCTATATGGGCATCTTTATTTAGCTTCTAAGCATTTATTTTTTAATGAGAAGTGACTTTTGGGTAATCTTTTGTTGTATTTCTAATATGCATTGTGTCTATAAATTGCTGGTTTTAGTTTTAATGATATGTATTTGCTTTTATCTTTATTTACAGGTGGGTCTTATCAAAAGCAAAGAAAGATGATACAGATGCGGAGATTTCCATATATGATGGTAAAATATTTATTTAAATATTCAGTAAAACCAGAATGACCCTGAGTTCACTAGCTTTTGAAATTATATTTCTATTAAATATAATATATGGGGTCTGGGCCGCCATCATGCTTCACAACAGAATGTTCAGTCTTTTGTCTATTTTTGTCTATTTCCGGAAGTCCCTGGGTGATCCATGCTTAAGCCACCATCGGGTTTCCTAACTCGGAAGGGTTGAATCTTCATTCCCCTGCAGTTAGTTGCGGCCTGTCCAGCAGCAGTGTTTCCCTGGCTCCTGCTGTTCTCTGTTGTCGCATCTCAAGCACGGGCATACCTCCGTCAAGTTGTAACTGCGGGCAAGATCCTCCTCGCCAGTGCAGAACGGGGGGTAATCTATGAGAGCTAGGAGATATGTGGCTACTCTTGGAGCCCACATCTCCGGGCCTTACATCCCCTGTCTGGGTCTCTGCTAGGATACTGTTCAGGCTTTGCCATAGAAAGAAATGTCCTATATGCAAGGGTCATCTTCCCTAATGGGACTTTTTTGGAGTATGATGAAAGAATTTCTTCTTCCTTCTAATCTAAAACCAGCCTCCTCCTTGGTTGTATCCTAAAGCAAGATCAGCCTCTTCTCAAGGTGACTGATCGTGGGAATTCCCTCTCTCAGAGGACCTCATACCCATAAGAATGTGACCTCACATGCAGACTCCAACAGGCCGTTACATGACAACAATGACAAGAACAGTACATGAGATAATAGCTGGTGTAGGATGTCAGCTGTCTATTCCTTTTCCTAGTTTATTTTAGTGTGAGATGGAGATCGTACCTGCATGTCTTCCTTTGCAGTGTTCTCCATCCCAGCAACTCCTCTGGGTTTGTATGTGCTTATATTCTCCATAAAGAACTTTACCACATGCTCAGACCAAGCAATATTTCATTCATTCTCTAAATCCATTTAGGGAAAAGGATAATTTCACCCAAAGAAGCAGGACGTCTGCAGAGATGTAACACAACCTAAAATACACCCACGGAAATACACATTATTAAACAGAATGCGTGGCTTAAAACATCTATGTTTAGGGGCATCTGGCTGACTCAGAAGAGTATGTGACTTTTGACCTCAGGGTTGTACCATTTAAGCCCCACGTTGGGTGTAGAGATTATTTAAAAATAAAAATAAACTATGTTTACACTACTTTAGTTTTTTCAAGAACTTCAGGTAGATATTTGTTTCACATTTGTAATTTTAGAAAAATCCACTGATGGAGTTTCCTAAAATGAAGTTATTGTTTATCTTACAAGTGAGTTTCAATCCCTATTTCTTGCGGGACAGAAATGGCTTTTAATGTTTATTTTTATTTTTATTTTTTTTAAGATTTTATTTATTTGACAGAGAGAGACACACGAGAGAGGGAACACAAGCAAGGGGGAGTGGGAGAGGGAGAAGCAGGCTTCCCACTGAGCAGGGAGCCTGATGCGGGGCTCGGTCCTGGGATTATGACCTGAGCTGAAGGCAGATGCTTAATGATTGAGGCACCGAGGCACCCCGACTTTTAATGTTTAAATGAGTTTTTACTTGAGTTCAAAGTTAAAAATCAAACAAGCAAAAAGCCAAACTTCTTAGCACTCAAGTTTGGTCTATAGTCTCATTAAACTTAAATATCCATGAAAATAATTTTCTCATATATTAGATTTAATATAGTTTCTGAATGGCTTTTATCAACATCTCAAAAGCAACTTCGAAAAATATGGAATCTTAAAGTGCTAGATCCTGAAAATGGTATTTTGGATATTGCTAGTAGCAGCGTTGTTTACAAAGTGGTTAGTTGAGATTAATATTAGATTCTTTTGCAGGAATATTTATTATTCACAGTAGTTAATGGCAGCTTCTGTCAAGTACCACTTGAATAAAGCTCATTCGGAGCTTGTCAGGAGAAAGCAAACCTAAGAAAGGTGCTGGGGTATAGAGTTTGCATTTGGAATACACTTACATTTTTCAGATTAAGTATAAATATTGAATAAATACTAATTATTTAAATAACCAACTTTCAGGATGTAAAACCCTTTTTAAAATTTTATTTACCCTAAAATTGGGGCACCTGGGTGGCTCAGTTGGTTAATCACCTGAGTCTTGGTTTCCGCTCAGGTGGTGCTCTCAGGGTCATGAGATGGCTCTGCGCTCAGCATGGAGTCCGCTTGGGATTCTCTGCCCCTCCCTCTGCTACTCCCCCCAGAGTGTGCTCTCTCTCTCTCTCTGTTTCTCTCTAAAATAAATAAAATCTTAAAAGAAAATTTTTTTGTTTACACCAGAATTTATATTCACCGATATTGTCTAAAATTTGGCTAAATGATCAGTTAATAGAAAGTTGTTGTTTATTTGGAATTGAGAAAAACCTCTTGTCATTGAGCAATAATTTCCCTGGCACAAGTTTTCTAAAATTAAAGTGCTAGATGGTACCTTTTTCAAATCCCACATTGGGCTCCCCGGCTTGTGTTCTCTCTTGTCATCTGTCTCTCAAATAAATAAATAAAATCTTTTTTTTTTTTTTGGAAGGAAAAATTTTTTTATTTATTTGACAGAGAGATACATAGCGAGAGAGGGAACACAGCAGGGGAGTGGGAGAGGGAGAAATAGGCTTCCCGCTGAGCAAGAAGCCTGATGCGGGGCTCGATCCCAGGACCCTGGGATCATGACCTGAGCTGAAGGCAGACGCTTAGCAACTGAGCCACCCAGGCACCCCTAAATAAATAAAATCTTTAAAAAAAAATAAAAATGCATTTTATGAAGCCCAATAAATTCTGCACAATGAGAGACCAAAAAATACTTCTTTGTGGCTCATGACTGTTCAGGTTCTTACACTTAGTTTTTCTGTTTTGTTTTTTTTTTTTGTAGGAAGGAAAAAAATAAAAAGCATTAGTGATTCATAAGTGCCTGTTAATAAATATTAATATAAGTTGGTATTAAATATAAATTAAATTATTAATATAAGTTGGTATGATACTGGAAAATAGTTTTTGCTAATTTGAGTTTCATTGGAATAGGCAATATCTATAATTCTCAAAACTAGAACATTTTATACAAATTAATATGATTTGGTTATTCTCTATTCTAAAAAGAAGAAAGAAGAAGTCCAAAACACAACTTTTGGGCTACAGGCAGCCCATCTGTAGACCATAATCTAATTTCAGGAGCTTTCTGATCTTAAACATGGAAAATCCCAGCCCAGAGAGGAGCTACCTCAACTTTGCCATATTACAGCTTAGTGCTTATCCAGTGCTTGCTACTTTCTTGGTCAAAAGTTCTGAGGGCTAATTGGCCTAGCTTGAGAAGGGTGACCTTAATTTATGTTCATTAGGCATACCGGTTTCAAAATAAAATTTAAATCCCCATAATAAATTTTTAAAATTTATTTTTAATTATTTTTTAAGTTTTATTTATTTAAGTAATTTCTACACCCAATGTGGGCCTCAAACTTACGGCCCCAAGATCAGGAGTCACATGCTCTTCCAAATGAGCCAGCCAGGTGCCTCTAAATCCCCATAGTAACTTTTGCAAAGTAAGGAAAGTAGCTGATGAATACCATATATTTAAAAATAAATCAACTGATGCAAACTATTTATTTTGTGTTAAGGATGCTCTTTACCTCATGTAATTTTAAAATAACTCATTTTAAAAATACAATGATGATACATCCATGCAACAAACCACATCCTGTAATTTCATTGATTGAAGAGTCAGAGAAGTACAATCCAATTATAGCTAAGAAAATGAAACCATTCTCAGGAGAAAAAAAGAGCAGACATGCATACAGTTGCAGATATTATTTCTTATTTTAAAATTTTGTTTTATTTCTCCCAATCAACCTTTTTTAAAAATTTAAATTCAATTAATTAACATATAATGTATTATTTGTTTCAGGGGTACAGGTCTATGATTCATCAGTCTTATATAATACCCAGTGCTTATTACAGCACATACCCTCCCCAGTGTCCATCACCCAGTTACCCCATCCCTCAACCCCCTCCCCTCCAGCAACCCTCAGTTTGTTTCCTATGATTAAGAGTCTCTTACGGTTTGTCTCCCTCTCTGGTTTTGTCTTGTTTTATTTTTTCCTCTCTTCACCTATGATCCTTTGCCTTGTTTCTTCAATTCTACATATGAGTGAGATCATATGATAATTGTCTTTCTTTGATTGACTTATTTCGCTTAGGATAATATCCTCCAGTTCCATCCACGTCATTGCAAATGGCAAGATTTCATTTTTGACGGCTGAGTAGTATTCCACTGTATATGTATGTGTGTGTGTGTGTGTGTGTGTGTATACATCTTCTTTATCCATTTACTTGTCGATGGACATCTGGGCTCTTTCCATAGTTTGGCTATTGTGGACATTGCTGCTATAAACATTGGGGTGCAGGT